ATGGGCTTTTTCAGCCAACTTTCACATTGATACTGAAGCCCTTCTTAAATATTAATTTGTAGCTGTGTTCAGCTGGATTTTGTATGGTTTAGTAGGAAAAGGACAAGTTGTTTTTCTTCCACTGACTGGAGTACAGTGGTAATACAATCTTTGTACACTACAAGGTTAAAGTTACATGTTCTGTAGGGTTTTAATCCTAAATTGTTTGAGTGATTGCCCTTTAAAGAAAAAAATACCTGTTATTGAGCTTATGGAGTTACTTATGTAAGGGCCATAAAACTAGCTTTGAAGGAGGTTTTTTTTTTCCAAGTACAGTGGATTAAAACCTGATTTCTTTTCTTAGGGGCAAGATTCTTGCCAAGAGAATTAATGTGCGTATTGAGCATATTAAACATTCCAAGAGCAGAGACAGCTTTCTGCAGCGTGTGAAGGAGAATGAAAAGAAGAAAAAAGAAGCAAAAGAAAAAGGCATTTGGGTTCAACTGAAACGTCAGGTAATATTTTTATTGTAGTTGACGCATTGTTGATTCAGTTAACAAAAAAAAAAAATCCAGCTAGAACCAAGCCAGTTGGGTAAAATGTTTTCTTCCAAAACAACGGTGTCTTATGAGCTCGTTCTGCCTTTAAGAAAACAAAACAAAAAACCCATCTCACATTAATGAAGCTGCTCACAGTATTCTGAAAAATCCAGGTCTCTGCTGGATTTTGTTGGAGATGTTTGTTGCTACCACCCTCACTTGGGTTTGCAGTCCTTTGCAGGAGGTTACTTTTATTGTTCTTTAAGAGTAGAGTGGCAGCATGCAGCGTGTCTGCCTCTGAGCTGCCTGGTATGTTTGGTGCCTGAACAGAACTGAGCTGTTCCTGGGTGGGAATTGTATCCTTGGCCATGAACAAAGAGACGGATGCTTCCTGTTCTGTTGCTGATCTCCAGTGGCAGCTCTGGCTGACTTCTGGTTTAGTTGAATTTAGCTGCAACGGTTTCTGTTGCGACCCTCAAAGAAAAGAAGGAATGACTAGGCTCTAGAGAGGAGACAATGGGTGTTGCTTCCAGAACCCTAGAGTACATCACTTCATGATAATTTGGATTAGTAAATTGCTGAGGGTAAAGTGTAGGTTTTTTCATTCAGCAGGGAAAATCAAGTACACTTGATAGCAGATAGTTTTCTTACTGCTACTCTTTGAATCAAATTTTAAAGAGACTAAGAATGGTAAAAGTGCTGTAATGTTTATATAATAATGTGTTAAATGGTTGTCAACATGAATTTTGTGTAAGGTTTCTTTCAAGTTTTAGTGCCATGAGTTTTCTTTTTTCTTTTTCTGTTTACAGCCTGCTCCACCAAGAGAAGCACACTTCGTGAGAACTAATGGCAAGGATCCAGAGTTGCTGGAGCCAATTCCCTATGAATTCATGGCATAATGCACGTTTTAAAAAAATAAACTGAAGATCTGGTTTTGGACAAGTGTATGTGGTTGTGACAGGTTCCTTTAGGTTGTTTTGGAACCGATGCTTTAGAAATTTTTTTTTTTATTGAAGTTTGTTTATTTAACTTGCCTTACATGGTGCTTGGTCATTTAAATCGTCAGCAGCTTTTGTTGATCAGTGTAGTCATTTATATAGACCATAAATCCTGGGGACACTGAAATTTGCTAATGCTTAGTGATGATCATCCTTCTTTGATTACCTAACGAAGTAATGAGAGGACATAGAATATTTCACGAACAAACTAAGAGCGTAAACCAAGAATTATACAGTGTCACTTGAAGGTTTAATTTTTATGTGGGAAAAAGGATGACAGGCTTCAGGTTTCATTGCTGAAAGCTTTTGTCTAAGAGGCCTCAGATTAATAACAAAGAAACATTGTGGAAAGTTTTTGAAAGCAACCTCTTGAGAAATGGCTGTGTGCAGATTTTGGTGTTTCACCACTGTAACCTGTAAAGGAAGGATTTTTAGAACATCCTCAAGTCAATAAGTGTTCTTAGGAAATAGTAGCAGTTTAGAAACAAGGCTTTAATTCCAAAACTGCCAGCCTTTTAAATTTGATTTTTATCACTTGAATTGGCTGGTATAGCTGAATGCTTGCATTTTGTTTATTGCATGTCTGTTGAATCTGGACATCTACCTGGAGGTTCTAAGGTGTTCCTCTCATCCCATTGATTCTGTTGATAATTCACAAAACCCCAGTGCTACCTGCCCAGTGTTCCTTGAATGGAAGAACATCTTCAGCCCGCTGCTTACTAACCAGTGCTGGTTTTGTGAGCTTTGTTTGGAACAGTGTGAATCTGGCTAAAGCTGCTGAAGGTAACCTGCTTAGTTAGCTTTGGATGTGCATAAACTCCAGCTTAACTGTATTATAGGTATGGATAAATAATATTTTACCTTTGTAAGTCTGATGTAAGGCATTGCTTAGCTACCTCGAGTAAGTGATGTGAAACTAATGTCTGCGTGTAGAGAGAGTACAATACTAGAGAAGGTAGTGGTCTCAAGTGATTTGTAGGTATTGACTGTAGGTATTGACTGTTGAAAATTACTGAATAGTCAATTGCAGGTGTTGTGGTTTAACCCCAGCTGGCAACTAAATGCCACACAACCGCTTGCTCACATGCCCCTGGTGAGATGGGGGAGAGAATGGGGATGGGAGGGGTGGGAAGTAAAATTTGTGGGTTGAGATAAAGACAGTTAAATAGGACAGAAAAAGAAGGGAAAATAATACCACAATAATGATAAAAGAATATACAAAACAAGCGATGGACAATGTAATTGCTCACCACCCACTGACTGATGCCCAGCCCTACCCTGAGCAGCAATCGCTGCCCCCCGGCCAACTCCCCCCAGTTTATATATGGAGCATGATGTCATATGGTATGGAACAGCCCTGTGGCTGGTTGGGGTCAGCTGTCCTGGCTGTGCCCCCTCCCAGCTTCTTCTGCACCAGGCAGGGCATGGGAAGCTGAAAAGTCCTTGACTTCCGTAAGCACTGCTTAACAACTAAAACTATCAAGGTTATTCTCAAACTAAAGCCAAAACACAGCACTACGCCAGCTACTGGGAAGAAAATTAACTCTATCCCAGCTGAAACCAGGATAGTAGGGCGGCTAGTAAGTTTGGGGGTAAGAAATGGAGAGGTAACGAGGTTTGCTTTTTCCCTTAGTTCTGAAGTGCTAACTTCAGAAACTTCAAACTGTATGGATTGCTTATAATTAAGGAATTAATGCCCATTTGCATTCACTTGAGTTCAGTTGAAGGTGTTCCCATTCTCATGGAGTGTAGTTTTTGGACGTTCAACTCCCCGCCTGGCTTGGCCTGGTATTTAGGGGTGACAGGCTTTAGGTGCTAGAGGTTCAACATTGCAGTGAGCAGGCACTGCATTTGAAGTGTCTCCAAGCTCCCATCTCGGAAGACGGAGCAGGCTGTATAGTTGGAATGACTTTGGAAATGCCTTGAAGAAGACAGAAGAAAGCTTACCCATCAACAGACCTATACATGCTGTTAGTGCTGTGTTTTGGCACCGTATGTGTTGGGCCTGGAGTGCGCCGCCGTCTCCTGAAGCAGGGCTGATGACTTGATCTTCACTTTCACTGTCACAGCTTACGTGCTTAGCTTTTACAATCAAGTGGGGTTTTTCTGGAGCAGTTAGGTGGGTGTGCTAAGCCTTAGGTCTGTATTAGCTTCTTTGGCTTGTGGATCTTCACAGCGATTTAAAATTGGTATTTGACTCGCAAGGAAAGCATCCTTTTCCATTAGGCTTTGTGTCCGAAGGAGTTAAGTGTGTTAAGGAGTTAAGGTGTTCCTGGGTACCATCCTTGGTGATGGTATTTTAAATCTTCTCATGCATGCTCGCCTGAGTTATTTTGGTTCTAAGTCTGTTTTGTACTTAACCTGTCAAGATTAAAGTGGATGAGCTGTAGCATCATGATGAAATGGTTAACTAACTAGAAGTTGTGGGTAATTTTAAACTTTCTAAATTTATTTTCAGCAATTTGGAATAATAAAGCCAGACAGCATGCAGTGGTGTCATTCAAGAGCTGTGCTTCCTGAGGCACTGTGCATTGCAACAGTTTTCAGCTTATTTACTTGCAGTGTTTTTAAGGTCACTATGCCAACAGTAGATGCTCTTAAATGCATTTTTGGAAGCTGTGTGTGGGCTGGGGGGTGAAGGGGGGAATGCTTTCCTTGGTCAGGATTCCCAGAAATGACTGAAAATGAAGTTGGGTTTGTGTAGCCAGACAGTAGCCTTTTTTGGGTTTTGTTTTTTTTAAAATGTTTGAAAACAGGACAAATTAACTAAGATTTAACCTGTCTTGGGTTTGTAGACACTACCTGTTAGTTGCTCTCAGTGCAGCGGTGGTTTTCCTGGTAGTCTCGTGTTTGCAGAAGCACAGCTCAGACGCTTGCAGACCTTGGTATCTGCTGTTGAATTTTGCATCCCCTGTGTTCAGCTGCCCTGTTCTGCGCAGTCCTGACGAAAGAGGGAGACCTGTGAGTTGAGTTGTTGAGGAACTGCCTGACAGGGCATCTGCAGGTGTGAAACTGGTGTCCAAATTGAAATGCATCCTTTGTGATAGAAGAAAGTAGTTGGAGGTATATGCAGAACTTGCAGAAGATTTTGGAGGGAAGGGGGGCGATTGCAGCAGTTCAGCCTCTGCCCCTCTGGGTGGAGGAAGCATGTTCCCTTACGGTGGATTTGCAAGTTCCTCTCCGACTCGCTCTAGAAGGGGTTTTACACCTGTAAACTAGCCAGTTCTCTGCGATCCTGTTCTGTGCCTAGCAAGCAAAACTGCGGCAAGCATGCCAGCTGCAGGCTAGGTGTTTCCCGTCTCTTCAAGCCATGACAGAGTTGAATTTTTTTCATTCCACAATGTTTTGAATTGTGGAGAGCTGTTGTGACATCTGCGCAGTTATAGGTTTCCCATACAATCGGACATGCCTTGAGCTAGCAGAGTTCAGGAATCCCTAGTTTAAAAGCCAGTTTTGCAGAAGTTCAATATTATGTTACCTGTCTTCCAGTCCCCTTCCAGCACAGAGGCGTCGTTATCCCAGAGCTGTATAGGGACAGGCTGGCCCTATACACCATGAGGAGAGTGAAGCACTTACGGATTAGTGCAAGCTGCTACACTTCAGTATGGTGCTCTGCCTCCATTCCACAGAGCCTAATTAGGAGGCGGGAGCTGAGCTGTCTCCTCCTTACCAGGTTTTACTGCCCTGATCGCTGCAGCTGGTTCCCTGAGGACCCCGGGAGGGAGCAGGTGAAGTGTGCATGCCTGAGGGGGGTGAGGGATGTGCAGACACCTCCAGCCCCGTTCCTCAGGGGAGGCAGGTAAGCAGCTGCCATGAGGATGTACAAACAATTCTCGCTTTTGTAGCCCTCCTGTTCTATGTATCAGATAAGCGAAATGGTCTTGGACGTTCACTTGCTTGTCCTTCTCAGTGCAATCCTGGACTTTGTGTGTTCGTGGCCCTCGTGATGAAAAGGATGGCTGGCAATCTGGGACGCGGATGCTGTGCTGAGATGTCCTGACTGGTCCAGAGGGTGCCGAGAGCTGGGCGTACACCTGCCCAAGAACGTGATCCTCCTTGTCCCAGCGCAGGCAGGACAGGTGCCGTGCCCCTTGTCCTTGCAGAGACCGCGAGACGCAATGGGTTCCTGTAGTTCAGGGTATATGGTGAAAAGATGTGGTTAAACTGGACTTGTCATTGTCTGGGTAGCACCTCTTGACTCTGGGGTGTGCGTAGTGTCTCCCACAGTGCAGGGGGGCACCTTACTCCTGCGAGCTTCTTCCATGGGAAGAAGGTACCCACAGTCCCTGCGGTGCTGAGGGCAGTGGTATGGAAGACGCAGATGATGAGTTTTTCGTGCCCGTGCGTCTACCCCAGTGGATGTACTACCAAAGCCTATGTGTAAGAATCAAATTGTAGCTGCTGAGATATACATAGTCATAACCATCCTTGCTCAAGCGTTGGGTGGAGACATCGCTCCCATCAGCAGCACCCATACAGCTCAGGAGCCCAGAAGAATACAAAGCTGTGGTTGAGGTTGCTGATTTTATTTTCCACTATTTGGAGGAAGAGGCTTTGGGTGATGGCCGTGGGCCCTCGGTCATCTTTTTGTCTATGCCCACTCCGAACTGTTTAGCCATTGACCAGCAGGAACTGGGGAGCGTAAGTAATAGCGGCAGTCTTGAACGTGGGCTTGGGCACCTGAAAGTTTCATAGGCAAGTGGTGAAGCCATGCCAGGTCACAGCAAAGGTTCTCGCCAGTGCTGCTCCACATGGAAAAGTCTTGTGCCTGCTGCTCATTCTCTCACATGGTCCCGCCCAATCTTTAGCCCAGAACTTCTAAGCTGGCTCCACAACATCAGCAAAGACTCCCAGGAAAACACTGTGTTTTGCTCCTTAGAGGAGAAGGGAGCTCCAGATGCTCTCAGGATGTCCTCCCTGTTGCAGCCACAGGAGCAAGCCACCTACTC